TGTGCACTAGTTTTTCCCATTTTTTCCCAATCACAAATTATGATACAATGACTATCTTTTGTGCATATGTGAAATTACCAATATTAAACATTTTGACCCTTAAAAATGACAAGTTTGTATGGTCAAACCTAGTAGATTTTTAATATTTTGGATTATTCCCATTATCCCCATTTTTAGTTAGGTGACTTGAGAAAAGTTTACAAATTTTGTTGATACTCATTGCTAAACTGCTTTTTCTACCCGTTTTATAAATGTATACTCCTTTTACAAAAGTGTCTCTCAGGTTGGTGCAAAAGTAGTTGCAAGTATACTTGCAATGGCAAAAGCGGCAACTACTTTTGCACCAACCTATGACTTGAATCCTGTTTTTTAGTTCTTCAAATTTTGATAGACATTTATCTTTCACATTCACATGCACGTTCCTCTCTGCCCAGCACTTTATGCATCTCTCATGGCTCATAACACATTCTTCTTCCATCACGTATGTGTACACATATGGCTGTATAGGAAAACAGCTTCTGGAGGATAAGAACAATTTGTTTTGGGGTTTTTTTTATTTTTAATAAAATCTCCTAGCTTGATGCCTTATGCATTTCATTTATTCATTCAACTAACATCTTCCAAGTTCACGTAAGGGACCAGTTATCTGTGAATGGTGTAACAGGCCTTCAAAAAGTTCACGAAACTAAACATTATCAGTTTCAAATATACCTGACAGGTCTCATTTTAACAATCATGCCCCACGTTTTAAGTTCCCAGACTGCGACCTTCCCATGTTTTTGGTGCTCTAATCCGGAAACAAAAACTCTGAAAATTTAGTTTTGAATGTATTATGTGAGGGCCTTTCCCTGGGCCCTGCTAATAATTCCTTAAAATGTTCCCCAGAACCACATGTTGGGGAACTTAGGATAATCAGTGAAATCTAGGGCAGCCTGTTGGTCTGGGACTTTTCACAGGACTCTGAAGGGCGCCGGAGTAATTAATTCCTTTATATCGACAGCAGTGCAGTGAATATGCAAATCGTCGCAGCAACAAGCTCCTTCCAGTTCCGGAGTGCCCGCAGGCTCCTCCCGGTCGCTGCCGTCGCCTAGCGAATGGGGCGGGGGCTCGCACGGTCCCTGCAGCGCCCCGAGACTAGCCACACT